CTTGTTTTCACTCCTTAATGTCTAATGAGTACCACTGCATTCATTAATTAACACTTACTGAGTTGCGTTGATTATATGGGGCAAATATTTCTTCAGGCAATTTGTAAAAAAATATGTGCCATCAGTTTGTAGTAATTAATGCATGGGGTAATAGTTGTTTACACTGTAGCTCCAACCTGGCACACCGTGCAGAAAAAGTGGAAGGGCAGGCTCGACCATTTAAGATGCCGTTGGCAGACTTTTCTTTCAAAGCCAGTCTTGAATTAAAACTTACCAATGATAATTTAGTAGACCTGATACTTAGCACATGATATTTTGTTTACCGTTCAAAGGAATGTGAACAAGGTTACATTAAAAAGCAGACACATCTGAGCTGTAAACTGCTATTATCATAATTTATATCAAATTATGGACACTGAGGGCTGATGTTATTTGAATGTTATTTCCCACAGTCGATACTCAAAAGTTGTTTTGAGATATCAATTCTATGCACTGTGAGCGTGTTTGGTTTTGAGGTTTTATTATCAACGTGAAGATAAGAGAACACAAAGAAGAGCAATCTCAACTGCAGCAGGCAGGGGCTGATTCAACCTACTGGCTGAAGGGAGGTGGAGTTTTGTTTGTGGGCCCTCTTCCCCAGTCACTGAATAAAATCAGTAATATTGTTCATAAACACAGTACACAGTATAGAAATTGCACAACACTAGTTCACAGTTTATCACATTAAGCCCTGTGAAATATTACTGCTAATAATGAATAATTCCTGTCATATCTCTGTCTAGACTTAAATATGTGGAACAGTTTAGTAACTTACAATGAACTTGAAATATGACATTCTAGTACATAATATCTAATATCGCTTTCTTTTCTATAATATTCTATGTAATATTACTATCTTCTTTTGTAGCCACTCAACAATACATTTATAATACTTCTCCCATACACTCTATCAGTATAATATTATATGATAGTATTTGATAGTGGCTGCAGCAGCCAAAGCTGGTCATAGTATGCCGCATATTCATAAAACACCCACATCAGGATCACCACACCCAGCGTCACTGACCTTCACTAATAGTTTACCATAGAGAAATAAGAGGCCGTGCAAGACACTAATGCTTGCAGTAATCGGCCAATTGGCAACAATATCACTTCAGTACCAAGGAGAGCGCATGCCACAGGTCTTACCTAACCAATAAACTAAAGTTTACTTTGCAGCAACAAAAATTACCATCCTCACTGTTTGACTAGAATATGGATAAAATCAGTTTTGTTCATCATATAAACTAAGATTAGTGGAACAGTTTTGGAGCCACAAATCCACCACACTAAACTATTTCTCTGTTATTGTCACGTTCGCAGACACAGAGGAATGCACATGCAATTTTGTTTATCTCTTAACTTAATTAGCTCTGCGTGTTTCTCAGTGACGCCTGGTTCAACTCCAAGATAATGAATTATTTAGTTAACTCCAAACAACAAATACTTAATGTCCAGTTTAAGATGTTGACCGTTCTCTGTTTCATTCTGGAAACCTGCCAATGGCTCTGAAAAACTCAGAACACATGACAAAACAAAACAAAACAAAAAAAGCTGCCTTAATGTGTCTGTGGACCAGATTTTTGTTTTCTTTCCATTTTTACAGAAGCTTACAGTAGCGCTTCTACAGTAGACTGTAGCACAGTGGAACAAACTATCAGGGGAAAAAAATCCTGTCTTATTCAAAATGGGACACAGTTAGAAAATAAATATATTCTGTAAGTTATACAAGCAATTCATTTATAAAATTAAGCATTTTTGAAAGATCTTTTCACAGAGTTATGAGTTATTAATTTAAAAGACTAGTC